AACACAAGAATATCTCTGCAAGTCGACGTCCAACAGTGGAGTCAGCTGCTTTTCAGATGCGGTAAGGGCGAGAGGCTGCCGATTCGGGGCAGCACGGCGAAAAGCAAGATTGGCTGGACAAACCGCCACGTTGCAGTCACTGTCAAAAGACGGGACAAACTAAAGAAACATGTTATGAGCTCATAGGGTGGCCTGAGAAGAAGTCTCGTCAGTCTGAGAAGGGTGGTCGCCGAGGGCAGCGACGTGAGAATCCTCGGGCTGCGCAGACTACCTCCATGGCGGGTGTCACTATTCCTGGGTTGTCTTCGGAGCAGGTTCAGCAGCTGATGAACTTTTTGAGTCAAGCTAATGGTGGTAATGGGGAAACACAAACTGCCGAACCAACAGCCAACATGGCGGGTAAGTTCACTTCTGACACTGAATGGGTTATCGACTATGGATGCAACGAATACATTACAAATAATGCAGATTTGTTAAAGAACTTACAGAATGCCTCGGGTTATCTTACAGTTAAAATTCCAAATGGAGATAGTATACCAGTCACTCAAGTTGGGGAGGTTCAGTTGATGAATGGCATGAAATTAATTCGAGTATTAAGCATACCTCTTTTTAAATGCAACCTCCTTTCCGTGAGCAGAATGACGCAAGATTTTGATGTTGCCTTGATCTTTTTGCGCGATTTTTGCGTCATTCAGGACTCACACTCCAAGAGGATGATTGGTAGCGGAGTACTGAGGGACGGATTGTACTATCTTCGACTGTTTGACGTGTCCGGTTCGAAGGCATTGGCTGCTTCAGGCGCCGGTAATAAGATTGGAGAAGTTTGGCATTCGAGGCTGGGACATCCGTCGAACTCCAAGTCTCAGTTTTTATCTCATTCTATTCCGAATAAATGCATGATAGAGAATTGTGATTCTTGTATTCGTGCAAAACAGACTCGTGCTCCTTTTCCTAAAAGCACAATCAAGACTAGTCGTTGTTTTCAGTTCATTCATGTGGATATTTGGGGGAGTTTTAAGGTTCCAACACAAAGTGGAGCTCGTTTTTTCCTCACCATAGTCGATGATTACAGTCGTGCGACTTGGGTTTATTTACTGAAATACAAATATGAATTTGAACGATATCTTGAGATGTTCCTTAACATGGGGTGGACACAATTTGGCCAGGAAGTGACGCGAATTCAAGCAGATAATGGAATGGAATTTCAGACGGCGTGATTGAGGGATATTTATGAGGTTCGTGGTATTGTTTTACAAACATCCTGTACTGATACACCACAGCGGAACGGGGTAGACGAGCGCAAACACAGGCATCTCTTGGAGACAGCTCGAGCGCTCCTTTTCCATGCTAGTCTACCTCTCCGTTTCTGGGGAGAATCGATCCTCGCGGCCACTTATCTCATCAATCGGTTGCCCTCCAAGGCGATCGGAAACCATACTCTCTATGAAGTGTTGTTGGGTAAGCTGCCGGATTATTCACATCTCCGGGTTTTTGGGTGCCTGGCTTATGGGAAGGACACTCATAGTTGTCTATCAAAATTTGCTGAACGTGGGCGGCGTTCTGTGTTTATGTGGTACCTCCTCCACACGATTACTCTGCGGATCTACCTCGTCAGAGCTAGCAGCAGCGCTCCGTTCCCAAGCATTTGGAGGTCTATGATACAGTTCTGCCTCCCTCTAATGTCCCTCACCCTATGGCTAAGCACGTCACATATTATGCTTTTTCTACTACTCACCGGGCTTATTTATCTGCTATCTCGAAAGTCCCCGAGCCTACCTATTTTCATGAAGCTATCCGCTACATTGAATGGCGGGAGGCTATGAAGCGAGAAATGAAGGCGCTAGAAGAGAATGGAACGTGGACGTTGGTCCCGTTGCCACCGGGAAAGAAGGCGATTACACCGAAGTGGGTTTACAAGATTAAGTATCAGCTGAATGGGGAGATCGAGCGATACAAGGCACGCCTCGTAGCTAATGGTTTTACCCAGGTGGAAGGGATTGACTATCATGACACCTGCGCTCCTGTGGCGAAGTTGGTCAGTGTCTGTTGTTTACTCGCAGTCGCTGCAGTCAAGGGTTGGGCAGTTCACCAGCTAGACGTAAACAATGCGTTTTTGCATGGAGATCTTGAGGAGGAAGTTTACATGAAAATTCCTCAAGGTTTTGCAGCTCCCGGTGATGATCGGGTTTGTCGTTTGAACAAGTCGATTTATGGACTTAAGTAGGCCTCTCGGAATTGGTATGCGAAGTTAGCTTCTACTCTTATGGAGATGGGTTTTTCTCGTTCTCGGGCTGACTATTCACTTTTTGTGCGGCAGACTGAGCAAACGTTTGTGAGTGCCTTAATTTACGTCGATGATGTGATTCTTGCCGGGAATGACCCCGTTTTCATGGAGCAGGTCAAGACTACTTTGGATAGTCGTTTTGGCATTAAAAACTTGGGACCCTTAAAGTATTTCCTAGGTATCAAGGTGGCTCGCTCCTCCTGTGGCATTGCTCTGTGTCAGCGTAAGTACACTCTCGATCTTCTTCAGGATGCGGGTCTTACTGGTGGTCGCCCTTGTTCTTTTCCTATCGAACAAAACCACCAACTTACTCAGCCTCCGGATGATGCTGCCTTGCTGGATTCCCCTCCAGTTGATGCCTCAGCTTATCGCAGGCTAGTGGGGAGACTTCAATATCTTACAGTTACCCGCCCGGACATCGTCTATGCAGTTAACATTTTGAGCCGTTCTGTTAACTCTCCTACCCCAGCCCATGTCGCTGCAGCAGAGCGGGTCCCAGGTATTTGAAGAATGCCCCTGGCCAAGGCATCCTCCTTCCTGTCGATGGTGATCTTCGGTTAACCGCCTATTGTGATGCTGATTGGGCGGGTTGTCAAACGACTCGTCATTCCACTTCCGGGTACTTCGTCATGTTGGGTTCTGCTCCTGTGTCCTGGCGCACGAAGAAACAAACCATGGTTGCGCGTTCGTCAGTTGAAGCAGAGTATCGCGCCATGGCTCACACTGTTAGTGAAGTGATTTGGTTACAGGCGTTACTCCGCAATCTGGGCGTCCTGTCCTTGGTCCTACTGTTTTACACTGTGATAATCAGGCTGCGTTACATATCTCGGCCAATCCTGTGTTCCACGAACGTACTAAACATGTGGAACTCGACTGCTACTTTGTCCGTGATCATGTTGTTTCTCAAGCTATCCTTCCTCAAAAGATCGACACCCATGATCAGGTTGCGGACCTCTTTATTAAGGGTCTTGGTAGTGATCGTTTTAACTTTCTGCTCTCCAAGCTAGGCACTTGTAACCTGCATACCTCGCTTGCGGGGGGGAGGGGGGGGGGGGTAAAGGAGTAGTTGTGGCTTTTATGAACCCTACGTGTGGTAACCCTAGCTGAGTTGAAAAATAGGGTTCCATATATATTTATTTTTCTGCTGGCTGCGGCTCTATTCTATGAATTGAGACCAATGAAATTTGGCCCCCAAAAACTAAGTCTTGGAAGCAAGGCGACACAACGGGGTGTCAAACGACCGGGTACCAAATAGGAGGCCATCCAAAACTAAGTCTTGGAAATAAGGCGACACAACGGGGTGCCAAACGATCGGGTACTAAGCCGGGTACCAAATAGGAGGTCATCCAAAAACTAAGTCTTGGAAACAAGGCGACACAACGGGGTGCCAAATGGTCGGGTACCAAATAGGAGGTCATCCAAAAGCTAAGTCTTGGAAACAAGGCGACGCAACGGTGTGCCAAACGGCCGGGTACCAAGCCGGGTACCAAATAGGAGGCCATCCAAAAGCTAAGTCTTGGAAACAAGGCGACACAACGGGGTGCCAAACGGCCGGGTACCAAATAGGAGGCCATCCAAAAGTTTAGTCTTGGAAACAAGGCAACACAACGGGGTGCCAAATGACCGGAGGTCAACGACGGGGTATCAAGCCAGCAAGGCAGGCTTGGTACCAAGACATGGAATTTGGCTAAGTATGAAGCCAACGGGGGGCGGCAAGACAGGTGTGGTACCCAAATATAAGAAAAATGATTAAGTATAGAGCCAAAAGAGTATCAAGCTAGCAAGGCAGGGCTAAGTATGGAGCTAAGGGGGTACCAGGCGGGCAAGGCAGCCTCGGTACCAAGACCCCTACAAGATACCAAGTCGGCATGACAGGCTAGGCAGCCAAGCAAGGCGACAGGGTACCATGATCCCAAGGGGGTATCAAGCCGATAAAACGGACTTAATAGCCAGACATTAGGGTATCAAGCCAACAAGACAAGTTATTTGACTAAGGCATGATAACTAGCTGAGTGGCCACCCAACTAGGTACCAAACAGCCATGGATGGATCGAACAGGATGCCGAGCTCAACGAGTTGCTTATTTATATCAGTTCATGAACTATTTTTCTCTTTCGAAGTTGTTTTATTTTAATTTTCCATCTTGACTTTGTGAAAATTTCAGTGTTCAGTTTGGATTTAGAAATATTTGTTTATGGTAAAAAAAAAAGGAGAGTGATAATTAAAAAAAAAAACTTGCCTTCTATTACATTGATTTGTTAACCTAATTATGATTGTCCGCGAGTTTCATTACCAAGAAGTGTATCTACAGCTTCTTGTACCAATTTCTCCTCACACATTACTAATTCCCTTGGTACCGGGATTCAATTAGACATATTTTAAATAAATTCAAATCTTTAATTTTAGAATTAGATCTAGTGAAATACATTTACTTTCTAAAAACATACCTAAATCCAAAGCCCATACATACTACATATAAATATAACTCTTAATTAGGGGTATGAGTTGTTCTTGATTTGTATTACACATATATCAATTAACAATCGTAGCTGTAATATTAAATCATTGATGTGAGAAATAAATACATGTTTACTTCATAAGCTAACAGTGTTACTTAACCATGTGCTCTAGGCTAAGTGCTAAAATCAAATAGGAAGGTTTACATAAAAGGTTTAGTGTATCTCTTTATGAACTTTCATATCAAACCTATGCTGCTGCTAACATGATAACTTTAGTAGGTGACATATATTAAGATATAAGGAAATTAACTTTGGTTACTTGTGAGGAGTGAGGTAAATATACGGAAACCTGTTGCAGGCAATAAGTTATTGACTAATTAATAGTTTGAGTCTCATAAATTGGACACTTGCAATTGAGACCTTAGCACTTGCCTAAGAAATGCAGAACACCCAAAATAGTTAGATATGAATAAGGATAAAAACTCCAAAATTTCATACTAGAGGAATGAGTTAAAACCCAACCCTAACTTAAAAAAATTTAGAACATCCAAAGGCCGGGCACTAGCTAGTTATCTAAAATCTAAATCATGAAGGAACATGTTGGCTCTTACCATCAAACAAAATACAAAAGTTGTCCGATTTCGTTTCCCAACCAAAGGTCCTTAACATAAACCTGGCCGAGGGAGGGAGGCAGTTCCGGCTCCTGAGACTTCACCGATGTGTCCTTGAAACGCTGTTATTCGTCCCTTCATCTTCTTCGACATGGTTTCGTAGAGAATCATGCGCAAGGACAGCATCAATACTGGAAAAATAACCGCCAAACAACATTATACAACAGCACAGAATCCATAGACCTTAAATATGTGGCGAATCAAAGAAATGCAAGCTCAAAAATTAATTCCTAGCAATGCAGCAAACATATATATCCCACCTGCAGTTCTGTGGCACCCTCCATTGGATGCGCAATTCTCTTTTCAGCATAGGTGGTAAGCTCAAAAAGTTCCTCCAGTCAGCAAGCATCACTTTGAGATCATTCATCTTGTTTTCCAAACCCAAACAGCAATTCACATGCATGGTGCAAACCAAGTTTAAATCTTTGCTCGGCTCACAAAGTCCACCGAAATAAGCAGTGTCCAGGAATCTCATCTTCAACCCAAGGTCCTTGACATACTCATCTTTCTTGAAAATTCAGCACATCTTGATCATGGTAAGTGTCACGCGACGAGTGCCAGAACTTGTAAAACTCTTATGGAACGATTATTAGCCTTCACATAACTAAACCCTCCATTGACTATGTTTCCTAAACCAACACTATCCCCTGAATACTGATCACACGCAATCTGGAAGTCCGCATCTGGATAAAACCGTGGAAATGGATCCCTAAACCACATTATATCTGTATCCTGGATGTTGAAAGCATTCATTACACACAATTGGCTTAGCTACAGAGAATTATAAACAGAAATGGAGGGAGCCGGATGCGAATGATTTACCGTGAAGACGAAATTGTAACCCAATTCAAGCACGGTGCGCAGGAAGTCGATCCTTCTCCACATCCTTCTACAGTGAGCCAGTGCTTGTTCTTTATTGTTGAGAAAAAGCTAAGGCAAAAGCTAGAGAATGAAACAGGGAGAAGAAAGGAACCTGAGAAGATAAAAAGCAGTAACGAAGCCGGCAAAAGTATGCAATCCAGAAGCTTGTGCACCATGTCTTCAAAATACACCAAATCCTGCTGAAGCAGCCTTTTGTCAAGGTTAAGGGACAGGGTAGCAGAACAGCCTTCCAGTACTTAGGGAACCTAACGCCATTTTATCAGCTAAGAAGATAATGAAGCAAAGTGAACTGTAATCATGGCAGTAGTCAACTCACGAACCATTTCAGGAATACACATTCAGCTCTGGAGATTCAATCGTATTCACTTTTGTGACTTGCCAATGAAGTGCTTTGCTTCTTGGAGCACATTGAATCCAGCACTTGCGTAAATGCTTTGCAGCAAGAATTGCAAGTGGGCTACATGATGACAAATACAATGGAGCAAGAATGCACAGTCAGTCAATTGCAAGTTTGGTTCAGCTTCACGAAGTTACAGCGGGCAGTAAGAAACGGACATCAACAAATAAAAAGAGCAGAAAAATGAGAGTAAGACTTACAGCAAAGTACTTCTGAAGTTGATCCAGGAAAAGCACAATGGGCGAGTAAGTCAGTCATCTGACAACCACACTTTCATGTATCAATCGGTTATTTTCCTGAAGGACCTAATCAGTATCCATTCTATTCAAGTGTTTTTCAGTGTCTTGATGTGGAGAATAGGACCCATCTCAGACTTTAGGAAGAACACAGTCGTAACTGCCATCTATCAGACCCTTCTTCGCCAAATCATTTAGCAATTCACTCGCTTCGGCAGTATGGCCTTGCTCATAATACTTCTTTAGTAGGCTATCACAAAGCATCCGGTCTGGAAAAATGCCATTATCAATCATTTCAGTAAGAAATATCCTAGCTTGCTGTAGATGGCCACATCTAGCACAACCTGAAACCAACGAAGTGTAGGCATGAAGATCAAGCTGCAAACCTAGCTCGACCATCTTGTTTCTTGTATTTAATGCTTCTTGCAAGCTACTATGCTTCAGATACCCATCTATTAGAGTAGTGTAAGCTGTCTTATCGGGAATCATATGTTTCTCCTGCATTTCATTGAACAGGGTCACAGATGCTTCTATGAAATTATTTTTACAAAGACCGTCCATCAAGGCAGTGTAGACTGCTACATTAGGTTGCAGACCATACTCGGGCATTGTAGTAAAGTAATCAATTGCCTCTTGAACCATACCCTTCTTGCACAGCCCATCAATTAATACACAAAAAGTTACAACTGTAACCTCAACACCCGAGTCCCACATTTCCCGTACAAGATTGAGTGCCTCCGCGGTCATTCCAGCTTTGAAATAAGCATCAACGAGTGTTGTGTATATGACAGGGTTTGCACCTATACCTCTCTGTTTCATCTCAAGCATAACAAGCTTGCATTCTTCAAAATTCCTTTCAGTGCAAAGCCCCCAGATGATGGTCCCATAAAGCATCAAGTCAGGCTGAAACCCTTTCATCTTTATTTGCTTCAAAAATTCAACATAATCTTCCTTGCTCTTACCTTTAAGATATCCACGAGCAAGAGCAGTGTAAGTTTTCAGGTTAGGAGCTACTGCAGCTTTCAGCATCCCAGTGATAAGTTCTTCTGCTTCTGTAATCCTCCCTCCTTTACAAAGGCCATCTAATAAAGCTGTGTATGTAACAATGTTCAATTTAGAACTTATTGTCCAGAGCATCTCGTTGGCCAGCTTCAATGCTTCACTCAAATTTCCAGCTTTACACTTTGCATCAATAAGAGAAGTATAAGTGTACTCATTGGGAGAATAACCGAGGCGTTTCATGTCTATAAAAAATTTAATGGCCTGTTGCATCATTCCTTCCTTGCACAATGCATCAACCAGTGTGCTGTAAGTTATGACATTAGGTCTGACTCCATTATGCTTCATCTCAGAGAAAAACAGAAAAGCTCTAGCCATCCTATCGAATTTACAAAAACAATTAATCAATGCATTGTAGGTTACTACATCAGGTTCACAACCTGCTTGCTCCATTTCCTTAAATAATCCCACTGAATTCTCCAAAAAGCCCAATTTCCCATATCCGTCAATAAGCGAATTGTAAGTTACAACATCCGGCATCAAACCCTTGTGCTTCATTTCCTCAAACAAACTTTTAGCAGCTTCAGTATCCCCTTCTTTGCACATATGGTCTATCATGATGTTGTAAGTAAACACAGAGGGAGAAATTCCAGCACTAACCATATTCCGAAAGAAGTTCCTTATAGCACCATCCTCCTTCTTCCCCTCCTTTGCTAGCCTATGCAGAAGTGCATTACACGATCGTGCTTTAGGCAACACTCTACAACTTCTCATCCTCGAAAAGCAATGATCAGCTTTATCAAGCATCCCTAGTTCTATATACACACTAAAAAGCGCATCAAAAACTCCATACCCTGAGACACAAACATTCCTCGTCGACCACAAAACTTCAAACACATCAAAACCTGGCAAACTCCTGCCTGCTAAGATCAACTCCTTAAGAATGCCACTGGCATCGAAATACATTCTACCGTAGAACAAAATGTGCACCAACAAAGAGTAGGATTCCGTTGTGTGGCGAAACCCAATGAGGGTTTTCGCCCAGCGGAAGAATTTCAATGCCAATCGCGGGTCATGCCGTAACACCAACAGAACCCTGGAAACCCATAACGGAGCCAAAGAGGAAGAAGAACCAACGAAGCCTACCATTCTGGGATCATCCCAACAGCCTTGCTGAACAATTTTACTTATTGAATCCCTGTCCAGCTCTCCGATGACAACATCAGAGTTTGTAGAGATTGTCCTAGTGGCAAACGGCAATCTTAGGATACAGAGAAACCCAGTGACCCAATTACACGGGCAGGAGATTGAAGACACATTGGGCAAATGAGGGACTACAAAACGAATATGATTGTAGCTGTTGAGAAGCAGAGGGTGTGAGGTGAACCAGGGAGGGTCGCTGCTCCGAAAGCGGACGTGGGATAGACTGCGGAATGAAAATAGCATTGCTAAGAGGAGAAGCGTGACAAGCGCCCGGAAGACGAGGAGCTTCATTTGCAGGTATCTAGAGAGCGAGGGGAAGCTTCATCTGGTGTTTCTGTAGTAGCCAACGAGCCGAAGGGGTTGTGAAGAATAGCAGTAGTAGGGTTTAAGCAGGCAGGCATGGTGTGACGATGATGCGCTGGCTCGCTCTCGGGACGAAGGGTTTTGTATTTTGTGTTTGAGAGCTCCAAAACTGCTTTCGGGAGTTCCGTTTGAAATTCGCTTGGAGTAAGCTGAAACTGAGAGGGGACAGCAATTGGGCCGATAGATTCCAAATTTGAGAAAAATGGGCTTTATGGCTATCACAATTCAGAAACACTGGAACACAGATATGGCTTTTGTTTTGGAAAATCCTGTGCTAGGTAACAAACATAGTTCAATGTTTCCAGAGGAAGACTAGATTGTACTCATACTATGAAGAGTCTCAATTCATAACTTGTGTGCCAATCCTTCTAGTCAACTCCGATTTCATATTTCCATAAAAATATCACTGACTTGTCTAACATGAACCGATGTTATGATGTACACCGGAAAACCCTTCAAGATAGTCATGATTCCAAACCTTGCAGCAATGATTCACAAAGAAATTAATTTCTTAGCATCTTAGAACTTCGGTTTCAATCAACCTCTTAGATTACAGAGTAATTGCGCCTAGAGCACGAAAAGCTGAAGACAGAGAATCATCGACGTTATATCAAGCCCGAACGGACTACAACAAAAGGTAAAAGTCCCTAAGCCACAGCCCTTGACCCTTGCCCTCTCTCTCGCTTCATCAAACTAACCAATATACTAGACAATGAATGACTACAACAGCCACTAGAAAAATTTACATGGGAAGAATCTTATTCCACGTACAGACCGCGTCATTCGCTCATGTTCCCAGCCTCTTTGTGCCACATTCAGAGCAGAACTTTGAAGTTTCTCTCAAATAAGGAGCACCACATTCATCGCAGAACTTCGCAGGGCTACTTGGCTGCAAGAGTTGGCAAAATCAAGTCAGCTAGCCATCCCTACAAGATAGAACTTACTACTAGGCCTCCTTGTTATAGAAATGAGGCAATCAAACACCATACTAACCAAGACACTGAAAGAAACAACAAATACAGAAACAGCTGGATATGTTGGTATGCTACTAGATCTCTCCATGTCACAAACTTCCTAGGATTTTCACTTAGTATTTTCAGTCAAAACATACTGGCTAGGGATGAGTCTTTTTTTGGTGTTACCAGGGATGAGTTTACGCAATGCGAAAGTGCAATAGGATCTCTCAGCAAGACCTAGAACTGATTGGCATACCGGCATTTGATTTTCAAAGAATCAAGGTTCATTTCTAGTGTCTGGACTCTGGACCGTTCTCCTAGTTCCTATGCAGTCAATATATTCAATCACAATAGCTCTCACCATTAAATGCAATGGCTTCCTGCAAGGGGTTGTAAATAAGACATGTGTTGAGAAATGGTAGGCGACTGGTGGGCATGTGTCATCTCTGGCATGTGAGCAGGAGGTCCACATTGATGGCTTTGGGAGAAGTGTGGAGTATGTTGGCTGTGATGTGCTTGAAGAACTGGATGAAAATGTGGCTGGTTTGGCAACGGCTGTGCATTATGCTTTGGAGGAGTCTGCTCATGGCCATGTGACTGCCAAAAGATAGTTTCAGAAAACCACAAAAGAAAGAGAAAAGGCATGACTCCCAAGTCCCCACTCCCCACTTTAGGTTAACTAACCAAATGACAACCAGTTGAATCAATCATTCTTTGCTAACATCAACAATGATCACACGTATATTACAATATAACTAGATCCCCATACCTAATTCAATTCTCAATTTATTCATGTAAGCTATACCCCCAACTTTGTAAACCTTGCAATAAGTTTGATGCACTTGAGCAAGTTCCGTCAAATGGTTTATGTATTTTAACAACAAGTTCGTGCTAATTAAGTTCGCTTCTCATAGCTGTTATGCTACAGTACTCAGGGGAGAATATCACGAAGTGGAGCAATAAACAGAATAATATATAATCTCTCGCTTTATCATATTTAAAAGACCTCTACTGAGCGGAATCCTTGATCAGCTGACATTGCAGATGAACTGTCTGTCCCATGGATCGCCAGTGGAAGTATCGAGTCACAATCAAGTTTAATTAACCTATCTGACAATTTAGTAAAGCCTGTAATCATAGAACATTCATATAACAACAGAAATTACCAATTAGCATCCCATTGTGGTTTAACTATGTCACAAAAGATAATCATCTTCACTACAAATATATGACGTTTCTAAAACTCCTAGAACAGAATAACTAGGCCTTTGTTAATATATGAAAACTACGGAGTGATTCTAACTAACACATTCCAACTTGAACATGCTTGATACCCAAATTCACTTTCCCTTTGTCCAGTACTCATTACAGTTCTCGTCAATCTAAACTGGCAAAACTGAATCTGAAACCAAAAGGAAACTAAAACTTACCGGTAATCCAGGAACATTAGATACAATACGTCTGTACTTGTGCCTTGGAGAGTAGTATTTGTAGTCTTGGGCAGATACAGCAACGTCACTCCGACCAGTAAGTCTCTTGAACCTTTTAATATGAACAGCGAGTTCAGGCATATAATAAACAATTCGAAGAAAAACACAGTACACAATTGTCATAAGTTCGCTATTAAACAATAGAGATACAATTTATTGTATTTTATGGCATCATCTTAACTATTACGACCCATGGATTTGCAAAGAATGACCAAATAGCTACATAGTATAAACATGACCTATGGTACATATATATATTTAGGAAACAGCAATAGTGAGTCAGTGATGAAATAACATAAACAAGAGTACTCGGAACAATTCCAATAAAGGCATGCATGATTAACCAAACTTGAAATGAAAATACTTCCAACAACAAAGAGAAAGAGAGGATATAAGAGCTGGTCAATTGAACATATGTGAAAAGAGTGCATGTCCCAAAAGAGCAATGATGCATGCTTCACTATTCTAATCCAATAAACAAGTTGTACCATGAAGCTAAATGATTCCTAAAAGGATGCATATTATTGATCTTGCTATTCTTAGTTCCAAACAAGGAAACACAGAAAACTGTCAATTACATACTAATGTTCCGGTTCAGCTGCATATCTTTGCATGATAATCTTACATGTTCCCCTTGTTCTACCCAACAATTGTTCAAATGAAACAAAAATTGAGAATATGTTGTCATCGCTCACCACTCTGCATCTTCTCTGGGCAGATTCGTCGGCTTCTCAACTATATCCAAACCATTCACCACCACAAAACGCACTCTTTTCTCTTCTTGGATCACTAACTCTGGAAATCCTGTTCTTGTCTCCACAGAAGTTGCCAGTTCTCTTCTTTTAAACAAACAAGAACCTAAACAAAACAGGAAAAAAGAAACACCTATGTATATAAAAATCTATTATCTAAATCAGCAAGTCAGATAAGATCAAACATACTGGTCATATTTGAAGCCAAAATGAGTGGCGAGCAATTCTAATGTACACAAGTAGTTCAGTTATGCAATCCACTGGTGACCACAAAAGAAGAAACATCCGTACCTTTCTTGGGGAATTTTTTGGCCAATTTTCGGTACAAACCACCAGCTGCTTCAAGAGCTATTCCAATGGTCTTATCACGAATAGAATTCGAGGAAGCCAATCTTAAATTTACATCATTCACTAGCATCTCATACAAATTGGCGACATACATCAAGGGCAAAGCAAACCTCGGATCCCCTTCGTATCTAACATCTCCAGACTTCCTCTTCATTAAACTATCTTGCCCAGGATGACCAGAATACTCGCTACTGCCATTATCCGTCACCTCAATCAAGTGATCGGTAATGAAGTAATCCACAACAATTTGCAAAAGTCTAGCCCTTGCAGATTCAATAGGTGAAACATCTGCATAGAGAAGCCCCCCGCCGAATGAGTTCAGTGAACCCAAATACAAACAGAGAATCAATAACTTTCACTTAGAATGCATACCTTCGATGTTTAACAAATTGTATGAAACCCTTGACGACCCACTATTCTCGACGCTAGAGCGGTCCTCTTCAACTCCGACACCATGAAGTGGCAGAGAATTTCTGTAAGACTCATGGATGCAGTCCTAACATAACAACGGAAACAGAGAAGCTCCGAGTTGGCAAGGGCGAGTGAAAGCAAAACCAAGCTACCAACTGTACCAGCCTCCGACCCTCGCTCCGATCTAAACACCTGCCAACTTCCCAACCCGAACCTTCCCCTTCAACTGCACCACCTCAAGCGAAGCAAGTGGCAAGGGAAGAGATCCTTCTGATTCTTGGGCTGGGCTGGGCTGGATCTTTTAATTCATATCAATCTACAGAAGGCCCGGTTTGGGGAAATAGAAATGAAACCAGCAAAATGAAGGATGAATGATGGTTTAGGACAACCTAGTTTTGGTTGGATGGTAGTAGTACCGTAGTAGCATGCATCTCAATGTGAATTGTGTTGATATTGGTGAAGTATATACTATAACCATTATGTTCACGAAGGAGAAGGGATGAGTGAAAACATTTAAGCTCATGGGGTATAAAACAAGGAATTTCATTTAGATTTCGATTAAGCATGAAGCTCCAACACAATATCGTGATAATGATGTCATGAGACTGGATGAGGGAGAATGTAACCTCATATACGTTATTAGCACAAGTCAATAAGTTTAGAAACCGGCCAGAGTATATAGAGTATTGTCACGCAACGTATGATAATGGAAAGGGTCATGTTCCCCAAAACATTTAGTTTCATGTGGGAAAACACTCTTGTATGAGAATGAAAGCTTCTTGAATTTCATGGAACACTCTTGGTCTTGGGTTAATGTGCATCAATTTCGAGACAACAATGTGTGAGGGATCTTGAAATTCGTTTTCCAGAATGCATGACAACAGTTTGAGAGAATTGAATTAAGGTAAACACCTTTTGAATAGAGGAAAGCAAACTGACAATCTCTGATTCAAAAGACTACCAAACAGAAAATATGAATCATTGAAGTTTCAAATTCTACACAACAACCTCAACCCCTAGCTAATACCAGCTCTTAGTTTGATAGAACTTTGTCGATTGTAAAGCCTCTAGCACCTGCTACTTGCTTCTCACAAAAGTACTTTAACAATACAAATACATGGGTTTAAATAAACAAGGTTTTGCACATGATTTCTTCTTCTCCGGCGACAGTGAATTCTGTTGCGAGTTCCCCAAGCCGTCTTCAAATCAGTACTAAACGGTGTTGGATAAAATCCTCCAATGTTGTTTTTATGGAAGTGAAGAACGCCGTCATATTTGCATCGACCAACCGATCTTGCAATTATCTTGAATGTTGTATAATACTTTCTATAGGTCGTAAAAAGTCACTTTATATAGATATAGTTTCAAAATACTTAAAATGATATCCATGTAGTTGACACTCTTTGTCTCTACAAACACCTTACAAATTGGAAATACTTGGAAGCTAGAGAGGTCCGAGATTCGGATCGTAGGGTGGGCTTCCATCCCCACAAACCTCCTTTAATAGCATATATAATAAAGATCATCATAATACTCGAGTTTAGAGCAATATAAGTCTTTCGAGAGAACTTTTTTGTGTTTTAGTATTCAAGTGAAGGTTAACTTAGCATTATAACGCAACCAAGTCTCAACATGCATGTTATAGTCTAATAAGTGATAATCCGGGGTCGTTTGGTAAGCACATAATGTAGAATTCATGTATTTGAAGAACTCATGTATTTTGTAGGTTGAGTCGTGAGAACTTGTGTAATATTAGAATGCATTGTTTGGCTTGCATGAGTTCATGGTAGAACCCCACATAATTTGGCATGAAATCTCAAATACTTTGGGTAAACCCAAAGCATTTGAGATATCATGGTCGCATGAATTCTAGAATTACATGGTGCACCGATATCATGATATCTGTCCAAAAATAAAACAAGAAAAAGAAAAACACTGGAATCTCAAATATAATGTAATCTTGAAATCCGTGGGTAGATTACATGCTTACCAAAGTTGCATGAATTTTAGTTATCTTGTAAGTAAGAGAGATAATCAATCGTCAATCAAAAATCATCAGAATCAAGGAGAATGCAACTAGAGTGCAATGGCACGTGTTCTTGCACAAGGGGTCAATATGGGTTTGTTTAGTTTGAATGCATTATGCATAGTATGTTAATTCCGATATTTGTGACACTATGTTGTACCTTTTTTTAAGTGAATTGGAGAAGCAAACATGGCAAAGTTGAATGAAATACAATTGACTTCGAGAGTAAAAGGGATGATTAATGTTTATCGTGTTTATATTAATGTACTAACATCGTATCGTATTTGATCATTTGTACTAATTAAATCACATAAATAGGTACGAAACAAATACATTTTTTTTATGTTTTAATTACATTTTGATTACAACTCATACATGATTTTGTCATTATTATACCTAAAAAAAATATGCTAAATGCCTAAATCTCGCCGGCTGATTTTTAGAACTTTTTTTATTATTTTTGGTGAATCCTTTTTAGAACACAATAATGGGCTGATTATTAAAAGGAAAATTCGAGACGGTAACGGACGGCAACTAAACACTTGCCGTGTCAACTAGCGCGAAAAAAACGTCAACAAACACGTCATTCCAGACCCGTCTCGACTTTTTATTGGTTATCCGTAACTGAGTCGGCCAATTCCCGTTCTATAAATCGATCCCCAATTCTCCCTTTTTTCTCTCACAAATTCTCAATTCATCCGCAGCTCTTCCCGATCAAACCTTCGATTTAGTGCTTTCTTCCCGCAGCTTCTCAAGGTAACATCTGAATTCGATTGCCTCCTCCTTCAGTTCTTCGTCATCCTGTTCTTGTTTTGTATGTATTGAACGCTGGATTTGGGTCTTTTTCTTCTCGTTCTTTAGGTCGATCAGTTCTTGGGTTGCTTTGATTTTGGGAGTTAGGTTTCCCTCTCTCATTAATTGGATCGTTATGTTGAATTTGTGATGTTCTATCTTTCTGGTTCGTCAATTTTAATCTCTCCGTCTCCGATATCTATTGGAGCTTGGTTTTGCTAGTTAATTAGGGTTTAGACGATCTCCTGATATTTTTCTGGTTGTTGAATTTCGTCGTTGCGATTTACAGATGCAGATCTTTGTCAAGACTCTCACCGGAAAGACAATCACCCTCGAGGTCGAGAGCAGCGACACTATCGACAACGTCAAGGCTAAGATCCAGGACAAGGAGGGGATTCCCCCGGATCAGCAGAGGCTGATCTTCGCCGGCAAGCAACTCGAGGACGGCAGGACCTTGGCCGATTACAACATCCAGAAGGAGTCGACCCTTCACCTGGTGCTCCGTCTCCGTGGAGGCATGCAGATCTTCGTCAAGACTCTGACGGGAAAGACGATTACTTTGGAGGTCGAGAGCTCCGACACGATCGATAACGTCAAGGCTAAGATCCAGGACAAAGAGGGCATCCCACCGGATCAGCAGAGGTTGATCTTCGCCGGCAAGCAGCTGGAGGACGGCAGGACCTTGGCCGATTACAACATCCAGAAGGAGTCTACACTTCACCTGGTCCTCCGTCTCAGAGGTGGGATGCAGATCTTTGTGAAGACCTTGACCGGCAAGACCATCACCCTCGAGGTTGAGAGCTCGGACACCATCGATAATGTCAAGGCTAAGATCCAGGACAAGGAAGGGATCCCTCCTGACCAGCAGAGGCTCATCTTCGCCGGGAAGCAGCTGGAAGATGGAAGGACTTTGGCCGACTACAACATACAGAAGGAGTCAACCCTCCATCTTGTCCTCCGTCTCAGGGGAGGTATGCAGATCTTCGTGAAGACCTTGACTGGCAAGACCATCACCCTCGAGGTCGAGAGCTCGGACACCATTGACAATGTCAAGGCCAAGATCCAGGATAAGGAGGGAATCCCTCCAGATCAGCAGAGGCTCATCTTTGCCGGGAAGCAGCTCGAGGACGGAAGAACTCTGGCGGATTACAATATCCAGAAGGAGTCGACCCTCCACTTGGTCCTGCGTCTGAGGGGAGGGATGCAGATTTTCGTGAAGACCCTGACTGGGAAGACGATTACCTTGGAGGTGGAGAGCAGTGATACCATCGATAATGTGAAGGCCAAGGTCCAGGATAAGGAGGGTATTCCGCCAGATCAGCAGAGGCTCATCTTTGCTGGGAAGCAATTGGAAGACGGAAGGACACTGGCGGATTACAACATCCAGAAGGAGTCCACCCTCCACCTTGTCCTGCGTCTCCGTGGTGGCTTTTAAAGGGTCTTCTGTCTCTTGTGATGCGAATAAGGTGGTTGGTGTTTGATTATGTTTGAAGATGTTTCAAGTTTCTGGTCGAAAAAGATGGTGTAGCCTAATGACACCTCAGTTTTAAGTTTTTTCCTTTTGGTTCATTTTCGAGTACTGTGTTGGCCGTGGTGGCCATTTGAACAATGATTCTCTGTCGGTTTCCTGCTGTTGGAATGATGAAGTCGAACTATGTTAATAAAGCCTATGGTTCTTCCTGTCTTGATATACTTGTTCCCTCTGTGCATTTGATGGTATTGGTATCATATGCAGAGCTGTTGGGTTTGGCAAAGTTAACTGTTACTCATATCTCAGAGGTATTCAACTAGCAAGGATGAGCTGCTTGCACTTAACCAGGTTGCATGTGCATTGTTTTTGTTTCTATTTCATTCATCACAATGTGGGTGATGAGGTGTGATTTCCTTCTTTTTTATTTCAATTTCTGCAAATTCCTATGCTCCTAGCAACCTGCATTTGACGAAATTCGAATGATGGGTCTCTCATCTTTATTAATGCCCATTGCACAAGGGGTACTTAGTTTAATCCATGGCTTACTGTTTAAGGTTACCCACAGCAGAATGTATAGTCACTTTCACTAGCGAAAGGAAAGAGTTTAGCCGATATGTCCACGAACTACCTCACCTTATTGAAGGTTGTCAACCCGCGGTAACCCGATTGATGTATTTGATGATCCAATGGAATGAACCACTGGAACTTGGGGATAGTGGACAATCACTGGAGCTTGACATATTCAACAAGTCACTGAAGTCCAAGCGCAGCACAGCTCATGTATTCTTGCACTTCTGCTTAACAAAACACACTATGCCAAATCAATGAAGCCTTAATCAAGAGAATTACTAAAAACATTGTAGAATCAGGTGGCTTTTAAACTCAGTTCTGCGAGATCAGTTTACAACAATAAATTGTCCTTAATGTTTAAGTAAAACTGTAAAAGCAGAAAGTACGCTTTGAAGTCTTGCCATGAATGAGTTGTGCAGGCTTCCAGTTCCCCCCTCTGCATATCTCGTAGGAATCTCAGTATGGGAATATGGGGATCATAAAAAATGTTAAAGTGTGGCTGCTGGGATTCGAGCCCAGGTCATCACGGCCACAACGTGATATTCTAACCACTAAACTACAGCCACTTTTGATGATGTTAATGGCCTGTAATTATATTGACAAATAGAACTAATCCATCTCATATAGTTACTACTTGCTAAGACACGTCAATTGTTGCTACGAAATTTCAAATGTCGCCTCTACGTTTATTTCCACTAAAGGTTTTCAAAAAGATAGTTTTAGGAGAAACTGAATGAATGCATTATTTTCCTTGTCTTTTTCATTTCATTGAATTTACAACTACATCACCCACTTTATTAATCATTCTCTCTCTTACTTTATTTCAAAATTTCATCTCATCCTTCTCTAACCTTTTCCTTGGCAGGGTAGATCTCCAAGGGCTGCCGCCGGCATCTCTGTGTGACCGGCGGTAGCCCGACCCCTTCCCCTTCTGCCTGCTTCCATTTTCAGCTTCCTTGTATTTGTTTTCATGTTTTTCACTCTCTTATTCCAGGCTTCCAGCTATTCAGTTTTTCCAGCCATTTTGGCATTTCGCTGCCCTGTTCTTGGGGTTTTTTTGCTGGGATTTGCTCTCCTTGGGGGCTGGGTTATGCATCTTGGGTTTTCCCTCTGGATGGTGGATTTATCAGCTTGTGTGGTGAATCGATTCACTGGTTTTCCCCTTCATTTTCTTCCCAGGTGGTTTGTTCTGCATCTTGGTGGGCTATGGAGGATGGATTGCGGTGTCTAGCCCTGCTGCTCGTGGTTTCGGATATTTGATCTGGGGATTTGGGTTCTTCTTCTTCCCTTGACCAAGTCTTGATGCCTCGTTTTCCCCCCTGCATCTTCAGCTCGGAGCATTTCGATCCTCAATCTTGTTCACCGCCATGTAATCCCTCACCCGAGATTCACTGTGTTGAGCGTCTTCGAGCGACTCCCAGGAGGCGGCATATGACATTGTGTTCATTCGTCATGGACTCGGTCGGATCGGACGAGCTGATCGCGCTTGGTGCTACTTTGGTTGATTTGATTGCAAGAGAGCTTTCGATGTTTACTGCTTTTGGTTCAAGTGTTTCAGATCCATTGTTGGGATCCTCTTTCTGTGTTTTGTGCTCTTCTTGTTGTATCTCTGAAGCACAGATTGATGATCCATATGCTTGATTTTGTCTGTCCTTTGTTCCGATTTTGGTTTGCTGTGTTGGTTCTCTTGTAATCGATCTTTCAAAGTGCAATGCAAGTATTCCCTTTGTCAAAAAAAAATTTACAACTACAATTGCATTACGGGTGATTAACAATAAACATAGAGTCCATAAGTTTTCGAAATCTATTCTATCGAACTCTATTGATTTTAGTGCACCACAAGTCTTGACGGATAAGGAACCCTTTGAACTGCATAATATGGGGGCGTTTGTTTGGTTTTTACCATTGCAAGGATAAATTGCGGGTACGAATTGATGAATTTATCACTTTGATGTGATTTGTTAAATTTTAGGCAAAATACACTTTTATAGTCATAACTTTACAGTTTGTGACAAATATAGTCAAGTTTTGAAAAATACACAAAAATAGCCACAAATTTGAAACTACCTTGACAATTATAACCATTTCCGTTAAAAATATTGATGGTGTTAGAGATGCCATTAACGTCCATCAACAACAAGCTGAGATGGCGCCTCATCAGCTTCCACGTCAACTCTTAATCGACCTGTCATGCCATGTCAAATTAAAAATATATTTATTACAATTTTTTTTAAAATAATTAATATTTTCCCGAATTGGGGATTCTTCCTGCAACCCACCGCCGACTTTTTCTTCTATGATGCGTCGTCGAACCCCTTCATCGTCATTGTTCATCGACAACCCAGATTGTGGATTCCATATCCATAACCAAGATTGTAGACGAGGCAACAACGTCAGCCGTCGAACCCATTCCCATTTTCCTCTCTTTAATTTCTGGGAACCCAAAACAAGAATCATTCAGTCCCTCTTCTTCTTTTCCCCAGTTCCTCTCGCCCCCTTTGTTGTTGTCCATTGAAGAAGAACAACCAAGAGCTCAATCGACGACAAAACCCATTGATTCCACAAAATCAAAATCAACCCATTTCATCAATCGATTCTTTGGAGTTCGCAACCCAGAAACCCCAAAATAAGATCTGGTATGGATGAAGAGATCCGGTATAGATCCATCTCTCTGCTTCTCTACCGTCTCTCTCCCGCTCTGTAGATCGGTCAGGAATTTTTTGGCACCGCCATGGCGATCGAGGTGGCGACTGAGCTCGTGTAGTTTCCACTGGCATCAGCTTCCACCTAGCAGAGATCGGAGGCCGCTTCCCACCAAACTTGGTGCGAAGACGGTGAAGAAGGGCCGGTCAAGAACAACGACGACGTGGGCGCTAAAAAAATTAGGGTTCATAGATTGGGGATTTCAAAATCCACCATCGGAAACCCTTTCGAACGTCGCCCGTCGTCATTGATTGGCACCGTCTCGTTCCTATTCTCGCCAGCTGTGAAATGATGTTCATCGTCGGGCTTGTGCTAAGAATCAAACGTCTCGCATACTGGGTTGTGTTCGTTACTGTCAACAATGGTGGTCGGAGATCGTCGGGAATGATGGGTTTTATTGACAAGGAAATGGAGAATGGAAGGGCTTTGCGGTTTTGAGAAAGAGGGATAGACTGTTGTTAGCTCCATCGCAACTGCAAAACCAAAGCAATCCTCTCGTCGGAGGTAGAAAATGGTCGATTCCTGGTTTGGATCTAGGAGGCAGTAAGGGGATTACGAAAAATGGGAACGACAGATAGAGAATAGGAAAGAAGATAATATTTTGGTAAAGTAGAGTATTTTTTTATTAATAAATATAATTAAATTTATTTCAACCGTGGCATGCCACCTAGACCAAATTAGTTGCATCGTTTGTCCAGTCAGAAGCATGGTTGTCACACCGGCCGGCGTGCCACCGGTTGTACCGGGTTCAACCGGTACCGATCTTAAAACTGGCGTGACACCACCGGTATAACCGGCATGATCGATATACGAATCTCTAAGTAAAATGACTTTATTTTAGAGAATTTAATTGATAAAAATTATTTTATTATTTATTTTATGAGTATAAAAGTTAAATATTGATATTATTTGTTGGATTCAAGTATAAATGCTTAAGTATTGACGTTAAATGTCATGTTAAATATGAGTATTTATAATTTTATTTGTAATATTGACCGGCATGAACCGACACAAACCGGTACGTGCCACCGGTTGAACCATTCCACTTGCTAAACCGGCACACTGGCATAAATCGGTTTGACAACCTTGGTCAGAAGTCATTATAGTTCCGTTATATTAATGGATGGAATGACTATTTTTGTGTATTTTTTAAAATTTGGCTATATTTGTCACAAATTGTAAAATTATAACTATGAAATTATATTTTGCCTAAATTTTATTATTAAAATTTAAGGAGATCCAATAGGATCCGGATCCAAATCAACAGTATAATTTATAGCTGAAAAGTAAAACTGCAACCCCCATTCAAAATTTTCTGCCCATAGAGTGATTTTAGGAAGCTGATGTGGCAGAGTGTTAAGCGGGAAAAAAAGAGTCCCGCCTGATTTCAGAACAAAAAAACTCTCCACTACCCATTTTTTTCTCCTTCCAGGCCCACGTTGCATTTAATTTGTATAAAAAACTCTCCACTACCCACTTTTTTCTCCTTCCAGGCCCACGTTCTCATTTAATTTGTATTTTTTATTTCCGATTTCCCTTCCTTCCACTCTTTCACCTCATTCGAATAAGTTTCTTGGCCTTCAGAAAACCAAACCTTGACTCAATCATCTGGTTCTTTTATGTGCTTGCATCTACCTTTGATTTCCGTTCTCTAAGCGTTAGATCGGTATTGGTTTTGCCGTAAGTTATTCTTCCTCTTTCATATTTCTGTTTGTTGTTGTCGCTGATTTTAAGTTTTAGGGATTCGGGTTCTGGGTTTTTTTTTAGGGATTCGGTTGCAAAGATTCATCTCCCTTACCTTTGGTTCATTCCGTTTTTTTTAGTCTCTCTTACCTTCCTCGCTTCATTCTGTTGATTGGATTCTCTAGAGATCAAAAGGGGATTTTTGATTTTTCCCTTTCTCTTGAAAGTAACAAAGCTGCTTACTTTAAATTCCACTTCGCTTAGACTGTCTTCCAGAGAGCAGCCGACTGCCGATTTTGAGCTGAGTTTTTCCGGGCCGCAGAGAAAGAAGAGGAAAGAAAGAGACGTTCGGCGGCGGCAGCCAGGTACTTGGTCCGGGTCGTTTTCCGGGTCAGTAAACCGAAGGGCCGGCTATAAACTACCGCTGGCCTGGCGGGGGAAAAGGAAAGCGTAAACCATAAGGCCTCGGGGATCCATTTCTCTCGCCAGCCCATACTTCAGAGGCCCAGCCTACTTGAGTCCAGAACCAGCCCATCGCCGACGAAATTTGGCGCGCCGTCCCCCACCCGCCACCACGTATGAGACATAATCAATTTACTTTCTGATGTTAACTCTGTTGCAGGTAAATGTCGAAATCCAACTTGATCAGTAAGGTTTTCTCTCATATGTTTCTAGGTTAATTAATCTAATGGGACTGGCTATGATCTGATAATGTACTTTCAGCTCTAATCACTAAAGAAGTATAAAGTAGGCGGTATTGATAAGCATGCTCCACTGGTTAGTGTATTGGTTCTAAAAGGCTTTTTCCCCGTTATTACATAAGATCATTGGACAGTTTTATCTCACTCCATTAGTTTGTTTTATTGTTCTTCAACTTCATTTGCATTGTATTTGTATTGTGACATTAGAGTTGGAATCCATTTGTGCTAAAAGTACAAAGCGTAAACTGCATAATTGAAAGAAGGGATAAGC